CGGGGCAGGCCGGGCCGGGGCGGGGCAGGCCAAGCCCCCTTACCTTTCGCGGACCCGGCCTCTTTCATCTCCCAGGGTTACAGTCACCGTGCAGTTTTTATTCAGGTCAAACTTTTCACTGTACAAATGATAGTCTGGAGTCACCCATCCAACCCAGACACAGGAAGGATCCTGCCCAGCAAAGATGCGGACGGCATAGTGGCATTGCTGTGGAGGACAGAGGGGAGGGATGGCCTCAGTCAGCGGAGGAGAGACCGAGAGGAGGAGGCAACGTAGCCCTCCCACGAAGAACGACACACACACAGACAGACACACAGACACACACATGCGCACACACAGACACACACCACACAGAAACATACCACACACAGACATACACATGCGCACATACAGACACACACAGACACACACCACACAGACACACACATGCGCACATACAGACACATGAGCACACACAGACACCACACACACAGACACACACCACACATGCACACACATAGCACACACACATGTGCACACACAGCACACACATACACACCACACAGACACACACAACACAAAGACACACAGGCACACACACAGACACACATCACATACACACACACACAGACACACACAACACACAGACACAGGCACACACACAGACCACACACACAGACACACACACACACCACACATACAGACACACACACACCACACAGACACACACACCACACATACACACCACACACACACCACACACACAGATACACACACACCACACACACACACACACATACACAGACACACACACACCACACACACAGACACAGACACACATACCCAGACACACATCACACACAGACACACACACCCCCCACACAGACACACACACATACACAGACACACCACATCACACACAGACACACACACACCACACACAGACACACACACCACACATGCGCACACATAGCACACACACGTGTGCACACACACACACACAGAGGGACGCTATGCTCTAGCCTTGGGAGGAAGCCAAGCCTCTCTCTAGAGCTCAGCTAGGCTCTAGATTGGCTCTCAGTGTCTACTTTATGCCTTACACTAGGAGCAGGGAACTTTCGGCTCATCGCTCATTGCTCAGGAGACAGGAGACACTGGTGATGGGGGCGCAGCTGCTCAGAGCGGCCAGGGCAGCCCTGACCCTCAGCACAGGCCAGGGCAGCCCTGACCCTCAGCACAGGCCAGGGCAGCCCTGACCCTCAGCACAGGCCAGGGCAG